AGCAGTCAGGTCAGCTCTTGCTTGCAAGGCCTCCTACAAAGAATCAACTAACCATCCTAAAGTGGAGAGTGACTCTTTTAATGTTAAATGTACACTATGGGTGACACAATCAATGTAAAAGCTGATTATGACATGTCTAAAATGACATCTCTGTCACTTGTAATAAATTTATTCATGCTAACATACACAGAAACTACACAAAGTCAAATTAAAAAAGAAAAAAAATCCCATGAGCAATGCTGAAGAGGTCAAAGAGCTCAATAATGGAATGTTCTCAAAGCAGGGAGCACCAAAGTCACAGTAATTTATATAATTTAACATACTAAAAATGAGGACAGAGGGATCAGAAGTACACAGAGGAAAAGTCATTCTGTGATTTCTCTTCATTTTGACTGTTTGGCTTTCTTGCCTTCATGAGGGGAAACTATGACTTCAAAAGTAACAAAATATTTCAAAAGTGCATTTACATCTTTCAGTTCTAAATGGCATTCTTGTGCTATTTTCTCAGCAGTCCATGTTTCTGGAGAAAGCTTATGATTATTGAGAAGTGTCAATGCCTCTACAACAGAAATTTTGCCTTTGGGAATGTCCATGGTATTCATATCAAAGTGATGGCCTATCAGCAGTCTGAATTCCTTTGGCTCTTGCTGTGGTTCAACATCTCCTTGCAAGGAGTGGACACAGGATCTTTGGAATTAACATACATACCTTTTAAGTAACAAGAGCAGCTTTTCTTGCAATTTCTCCCTCAATTTCTGGATGGTGGCCTGTGCAGGAGGCTGCTGCAAGTGGATGTAGATGGGTGCTTGGGTGCCATGGACGGCTTCGCTCTGCTGATCTCCCACTCAGCTAGGTTCTCCAGGTTCAAGTTCCCGACGGTGCGGTCACGTGAGTCCCCATCTCTACATGAGACCTTCAGTTCACCATGCCTGCTTTCCCTTCTAAATGAGACCATGAGACCTTCAGTTCACCTCTGCCTGCTTTCCCTTTTATATGCATTTGCCTGACTGCTGAGATTATGGTCACTGTGCCTAGCACCCCTCCCCCATATGATAACTATGGCTTCAACCTGACCTGATGACAGTCATCTTGAGCTGTAGCTGTCAAGATTATCTTTAAGTAACCCTGGTTGGTTTCTTATGCATAGTTTCTTAGCATACCATAAATAGACAAAACCATTAGAGTGGTATGCAGAACTGTAGGCTGGATCCTGGTGCCAGGAATATGCCTGACTCCTTGTTAGCCTGAGATAAACCAGGTACATTCCTGCTTGGATGAGGTCACTTTTGTCCCGACTGCTTTACAGGCCCCATCTTTTTTTTGGGGGCGGGGGGAGGGTCTTTTTGAGACAGGGTCTCCCTGTAGCCCCAGCTGGCCTGGAACTCACTATGTAGACCAGGCTGGCCTGGAACTCACACAGATCCACCTGCCTTTGCCTCCAGAGTGCTGGGATTAAAGGCATGTATCACTGTGCCAGCAAAGTGCCATCTTTTGACTCAATTGCAGGGATCGACCTCATCTTGCTGCCACTCATTTCTGTCTGTAAGTCTCCAGTAAGTTACACGCTGTACAATCTCCATCTTTCCCTCGGTCTTCAGCCACATGGCACCTTGGGCCAGCTTTCCTACTCTGGTACCTGTAACACACCCTACTCATGCCCTTCCTGACCACAGAGATAAGCAGATGGTCTAAACTGGACCAATTTTACTCCATCCTCTGGTCACAGTGATTGATCTAGGATGAACATGCAACTTGTTCCATGTTCCATGTTTTTTTTTTCTATTGAAATATGGTCATATCATTACAAGTGACATTCCAGGGCAGCATACAGTCACGTCTTTTACCACATAGAAAAGCTTGAGAAAATTAAGCTATCACCCAGAGAAATGCAAAGAAAGTTGCCAGGGCATCAGGTCCCTGGGATCCCTAGAGCAGGTCTCACACGGGCTCCTTCTATTCAGTGAGCCACTTGCTCCAGCATCTTTCTGATCCACAGGATTTTCTCCTTAAACTAGCTCAAGGTGGGTTTCTGACATCTGCAGACCAAAAGGCTAGTCAACAAAGATATAATTTCTAGGGGCTGGAGAGATGGCTCAGTGGTTAAGAGTATTGCCTGCTCTTAAAGAGGACCTGGGTTCAATTCCCAGCACCCACGTGATGGTTAACAAGGATCTGTAACTTCAGTTACAATTCCCTCTTCTGATTGCCAAGGGCACTGCACGACATGGATGCACTTAACATAACACACAGGCAATACACTCATACACATAAAATAAAAATAATATATTAAAAAAAGATATAATGCCGGACATGGTGGCACATGCCTTTAATCCCAGCACTTGGGAGGCAGAGGCAGGCGGATCTTTGTGAGTTCAAGGCCAGCCTGGTCTACATAGCGAGTTCCAGGACACTTGAGGCTACGGGGAGGCCCTGTCTCAAAAAAGACAAAAAAATTATTTTTTAAAAACAGGGGAGGGCTTGTGTTCTTAAAAGAAGTCTGGAGGAGGTTGCTTATCAGCAGCTTCAGGTGTTAGGGGTCTGGGTTGACTCCTGAACTCTATGATCATTGTGAATGTGAGTGGTATGCTTTGAATTTGAAATGTTCCTCACAGACTCATGGTTTGAATGTTTGTTCCCTGGCTAGTGGAGCTGTTTTAGGGGGGCTGTGAATCATTAGGGGGGTGGCCTGGATGGTGAAAGTCCTCTAAATGATATTCCTACTACAGTATATTCCAGTCCTATACTCTCTGTTTTGTAGCCTGATGTGATGTCATCTCTCAATATATACTTCTGCCTACTTGCATGATGCTTGCTATAAGAATTAAATTGGGGGGCGGGCTGGAGAGATGGCTCAGTGGTTAAGAGCACTGACTGCTCTTGCAGAGACCCAGGTTTGATTCCCAGCACCCACATGGTGGCTACAAACCATCCTTAACTCCAGTTCCAGGGGAATCCGAAGCCCTCTTCTGACCTCCGTGGCACTGCACAACACAGGTGCACTCACATACATGCACACAATACACTCATACACATAAAATCAAAATAATAAATAAAATATTTTTTAAAAAAAGAATTGGAGTCAGGTGTAGTGGTGTGCACCTTTAAATCCAGCACGTGGGGGACAGGGGCAGCTAAATGTCTGGGAGTTTGAGGCTAGCCTGATTTATGTGGAAAGTTCCAGGGCTACCTTGTCTCAAAATGAATGAATGAATGAATGAATGAATGAATGACTAAATGTCTCAAAGAAATTCTATATCTAACCCATCTGACTGTCCATACGTGAGTGCAAAGAATACTTCCTCATGACAGGCAACCACTTAGGTCTTCAGCTTCCTCTGCTCAGTACAAAGCATCTAAGTCCTCAGTATTCCATGGTTCAGAGCATTGTACTGAGCCAGGTGCCTCAACTTTCCAACTTTTAGGACTTGCCAAAGCACTCCTTGACTACACATTCCAATTTGACTTTTCCAGTTCTCTCAAAGCTGGACACATCCTGTAAGCCCAAGATTAAAAATAATTATGAAAATTTCAAATATATGCAAAAGTAAAGACTCATTTAATGAATCCTCATAAACCCATCACAGATTCTAGGATTATCAAGATGTTGCTGCTGGGAAAAACTTGACATCAAATTAAATCCTTGGATTAGACCCAACTCTTCAGCCACACACTGGACATCAAAGGCACTGGCTAAGCTCTGCATTCTGGGGTATTACAGCCATTAGTTATTTTTAAGCCATGTTACCTGGACAGGACATAGGACTGTACTCTCAAGTGTCTTCTTCGCCTTCATGGGCCCTACGAAAGGCTAAGATGAAAACTTCCTCTCACAAGAGCTCTTACAGGGCAGAGAGCTTAGGTGAAGGTGGTCCCAGCTCATATCATTTCTTCAAAGGCGGATCACCTCCCTTCTCCAAGCCCTCTGGACTGTGTCTAGCTTTGGGAATCTCCAACTTCTTGGAGGCCTGAAGTGTAAACATGGGGGCTCTTATCATAAAGCCTTAGGGCCAGGAGGAAAAGGTACGGTTTTCTCCTGCCTCCAGTACTAAGTAGGACCACCAGTAAGTGCCCATCCAAGGCTGGGGAACTCTTCAGAAGCACAAGATGCAGAATGGGAAGATCTGTGCTCCCATTTTTTTTTTCATGGATGGGTTCATCTCTCTAGCCATGTCATACATCATGCTAGGACAATAATACGGGTCGATAAACTCCCAGAGTGCTTCCTGTCTGCTAGGAAAACAGGAAGGCCAACAGGTAATTACTGTTATAAACTCAGATGAGGAAGTTGGGGAAGAGGCTGGAGGACTGAGCGAAGGTACTGGGGAGGCCTGAAGACGGATTTGACAGGGGTAAATTAATTCATCCTACTGACCAGACTAGGAAGACTAGCTGGGCATGCAGTGCCTGCGGACAGCGGGCTGGGCAGTACCCGGAGTATACTGCGCTCCCTGCACGCTCATTCTATCTTTTAAACATTTATTATTTATTGGGGGATGGGGGCACGTAAGTGCCATCGCGCACGTGAAGGTCGGAGAACAACTCCACCATTTGGGTCCCGGGGAATCGAACTCTGATCAGGTTTGGCGACAAGCACCTTTACCCGGTAAGCCATTTCAACAGCCCCTCGTTTTAAAAAAAAACAAAACAACAAAAAACAAATTTCACATAATAATCCCTGCAAAGTTCTGTCGTAGGTGAACTGCAGGGATTACAGGCGGATCCGAGGCATCGTTTCTGCTCCCTAGGTTTCCGCAAACCAGGAATCACGCCCGCCTCTTCCCACCAACAGCGTTGCAGCCTCGGGGTTCACTTTTCTCCTAAGGCTGCGGGGAGCGGGGGTCAGGGATACGGCTTATCCCTAGTCGTCCCAAACAGCGCCTGCGCAGAGTCCGCGAAGCCTGAACAAGCGGAGCCGAGGAGGGGCAGATAGGGACCCCACCACGCAGCTGCGAGCCTCACTTCCGCTGCTGGCCACCTCCGGCCCCGCCCACTCTCCTTCCCAGGCTTCCCTGTACCGGCTGCGCCCTGCACAATTGGCCGTGCCGCATCACGTGACGCCGAATGGCGGCGGCGGTTGCCGGGGCGACGACGTGGCTGTGGCGGCCCGGGTAGCGGCGTCCGCGACCCCGCAGCAAGGTAAGCGGGGCCCTAGGCCCACAGAGCCCGCCGTCCGGGCGGGAAGGAGCCGCGGAGGATGCCTGGCCGAGGCTCCCCGACTCTTCCCGGAGGAAGCCGCGTATGAGTGCCCGGCTCTCCCACCCGGCCAGCGCGCAGGCCTGGCCACTTCCCACCCGGAGCCCCTGGCCTTGGCTGCTGAGGGGCAGACGTGGAGGGTGCTGTAGATGAATGTTGGCAGCGCAGCCTGGTGGCCTGGGGCATTTAGAGCCCCTTCTCCCCGTCATCTTTTTTAGTCAGCCCTCCTCCCAGCGCTGCTGACCTCGCCTAATCCAGTGCTTGCAAATGTTAGTTCATCTAGTACTTACATAGCCAGGTGTAGGTCTTACGTCTCAGGTGGAAATGTCACTGCATCCCGAAACGTCTGAAAATTCCCTAAATGCTTCTTAGTTCCGCAAGTCAAGTCTGGACTAAGAATTACTGATTTAGCAAAGGAGGTGGGAGGGCTCTCAAACTTGAGTGGGCGGAGAAAACAGATTTTCAGGGCTGGTGAGATGACAGGTAAAGGCACTTGACACACAAGCCAGACGACTTGAGTACCATCCCTCCGGATACACATAGTGGAAGGAGAGAACCAGCTCTTGCATCTTCTCCCACAAGTTGTCCTCTGACCTCCACACGAACCGCCTTCCTCCAGTAAGTAGATGTAATAAAAACGTTAAAAGGCAGATTTCTGGGCATCCCACCTGCCTTGCTGCTCAGTAAGGCTACTCTGCTGATAGGAGTTTTCATTTGTACAGCATCACAGCTGATTTTGGCTTGGGTTGTCTAACTTTTGTGTAGTGGTTAATATCTGTAGATTTACACTGCTTTGGCTGTGGGAGCATGTCATCAAGTGCTCAAGTGCTTCATCTGTAAAGGAGGAATATAAAATTATATTAACACTCAAGTTTACCGTGAGAGTCAGTGTGAGACACCTTGTCTAGCATATAACAAACTGTCAAGAAACTGCACCTCTTGTTCTTTGAAGTTTTTGAGAATATCCGATAGAATTGTCAACAGTGAGTGACTCATATTCATAATGAGAGGGTGTGTTGGATAGCTTTAGTGTCAACTTGACACACCTGGGTTGAGGGAGCCTCAATTGGGGAATTGCCTCCATTGGACTGGCCTGCGGCCATGTCTGTGGGGTATTTCCTTGATTGTTGAGTGATGTGGGAGGGCCCAGCCCACTGTGGGTAGTGCCACCCCTGGGCAGGTGGGCCTGTGTTGCAAAAGAGAGCAGGCTGAGCAGGGGCCAGGGGAGCAAGCCAGTAAGCAGCGTTCCTCCATGGCCTGTGCTCCAGCTCCTGCTTCCAGGTTCCTGCCCTGAGTTCCTACCTTGGGCTCCCTGATGAACTTCGACCTGGGAGATGTAAGATGAATAAACCCTTTCCTCCCCAAGTTGGTACTGGTCAGAGTATTTTGTCACAGCAATGAAGAACAAACTAAGACAGTTGGTCACAGCAGACTTTTTTTTCCAGCTAGTCAAAGAAGACTTCTCAAAGGAAGTGATGTTGAGCCAAGTGCTAGAAGTTAGCCAGGTGAGTGTTCTGGGCAGGGAAAAGACTGTGCAAAGGCCCTGAGGTTGGAAAAGGTTCAGGAACTGGAGTTACAGATGGTTGTCAGTCACCATGTGGGTACTGGGAATTGAACCCAGGTCCTCTGCCAGAGAAGTCAGTGCAGTGCTCTTAATCACTAAGCCATCACTCCAGCCCATTTGTTTGTTTGTTTTTAACCCCAGGCCCTTTACAAATACCATTCCCTCTGCTTGGGCTTTAATTTGTCAGATGTCTTGAGTGCCTATCTTGCCTGCCAGATACTCTGCTAGCATCTGGGCTGGGAAAATTTAATGGCAGCTCTGCCTCTGTAAATAGGTTTGTAATTGTAACAGGAGATATATGTGGGGGGTACAGAGATACCCTAAGGAGAAAGAATCACCTTGATAGGGAAGGAAAGGAAGATTAGTTCACTGAAGACTTCTTGAAGGCCAAGTCAGAACTGAGGCTTATTGAGTGAGTTTGCTCAGGAGATAGGGCAGGCATCAAAGAGCTTAGAATCTGGAAAGTATGTGCTTTGTGGGAACTGGTCAGCATTCAGTAGTGGCAGGGGCAGGGCCAGACTTTGGAAGGGATGATGGTGGAAGTAGAGGAGTAGTGGTCTGGGTTGAAGGTGTGTCCAGCTTGTAGCCCAAGGGCTGCAAGTTGCATGTGCCCCAGGATAGCTATAAATGCCACTCAACACAGAACTGTAAACCCACATGAAACATTATGGGACTTTTTTTGCATCCTGTTTTTTGTCTGGCCATTGTTTGTTGTGCTGTTCCCAAACATGTTTTTAGTTGCCATGTCAAAAAATTAGACATTTCCTCGTCCAGAGAAAACTTGGCAGTGTGAATGGACCTCAGACAGTAGCTATCTTTCTTCTACTTTATCTAGCAGTGGGAGGAAGCCAGCATATCTGCTGCTCCTAAGTCCCCCTTCCTGCCCCCAACCTCTGCTTCTCTTTGGAGAGTGTTCACCCTGGCCCCCACTCTTCTCATTTACAGTATCTTTTCCTCCATCCTGCTCATCCTCATGCTCCTGTGGTAATAAGCTTCTTGTTCCTGTGTCACTCCTAAAAGCTTGGCTTCAAGTTTCCCTCTCACTGGGACCACTACCTTCTAGCTTCCAAGTCACTTGAATGTGTCCCCTTTGGCAGAGCTTTGGCCTTGTCACCTCACTGTGCAGCCTCTTGCCGCCCTCACCAATCCCAGTCTTAGCTTAGCTTCTATGTACCATCATTGTTACTAAGAAACCCTCACCTGAGGGCGGTGAGAGCAGAGACAGCTAAAATTGCCTGAAGGAAGCAGTGACTGTAGACTGGTGCCATCATAGGTTTACTCCACTGAGCTTCAGTGGACTCCCAAGTCTAGACACCCTGCCATGTTGCCTGAGTCAGTGTGGTTCCCACCTTCCCCTTTTCTTCAAACTGTTACCCTGCTTCTTACCTGAGCCAGTGACTTGGCTCTTGTTTTACTTCTCATCCTTGAATCCATCAGCATCCATCTCCAGACTCAAATGACCACTGACCTTTCCAGAACCTGGCTGTCTAATAGGCATCTCAGGTGTGGAGCCACATACAATCCTTGTCTTGACTTGCACTGAGGGAATTCTTGTGCAGGTGCATCATTGACAGGGTGTTGAAGTCAGCCAGTGGCGAATACTGCTGAAAGACAGACAGCAGCCCAGAAACCTGGTGAGTTTAGAGGGATGACTGGGTAAGTATCTCTGGGCACGTGCATTTAAACATAAACCAAATCAAAATGTAGACATTTTCAGGAAGAGCATTGAGGCAAAGGGAACTGTCCATGAAGTTCCCTGTAGTAGGCATGCTGTTAGGCCAAGCTACAAGAGGCCTAGAGAGCTGGGCCTAAGGAGTTTAGATGGTCTTGGAAGCACAAGAGGGTTCCAGGCAGCAAGGCTGCTGTTCATGGAGTAGAAATTGGATTGAACCTTGGTTGGGGGGGCAGATGCTGCTGCCCCAACATGACAAAGCATGAGTGGAGGGTGCTGCTAAAGCTAAGCACTCTGAGCTGTGTTCAGGTGATAGAAATCAGTGCACTGGCAGCAACATGAGGGTCTAGACTCAGGCAGTCTTCAAATTAGACAAGAGATCACCAGTTTCATTTTATCTCATGAAAAAGACTCAATGTTTCGTGATATGCCAGTGTACAGTTTACACTGAGAGCTTGGACTTGGTAGTTCCTTTGGGGTTATAGGCAAATGGTCTATGTAGGAGCTTGGGATGCCCTTGGGTAGAGGCAGCAGGAAAAGCAGAAGGCAGTGTTTGATGTTCATTGTTGTGGCTTTTTAAATTTTATTTTACTTTTTGGTCTTTGAAACAGGGTCGCCCTATAGCCCCAGCTGGCCTGGAACTCACTATGTAGACCAGGTTGGCCCTGAATTCACAGAGATCTGCCTGCCTCTGCCTCCCAAGTGCTGGGACTACAAGTGTGCGCCTCCACACCAGGATGTTTTGGCTTTTTTTTTTTTTTTTTTTTTTGTCTTTTTGAGACAAGGTCTCTCTGTAGCCCCAGCTGTCCTGGAACTCACTATGTAAACCAGGCTGGCCTCGAACTCATGTTGTGGCTTTTTTTAAAAAAAACTTTTTTTTTCTCATTTTATGTCTATGAGTAAATATACCTATGTCCTGCATTGCCTATGGAGGCCAGAAGAGGCCATTGAATTCCCCAGGAAGTAGAGTTACAGACTGGTATTAGCTGTCATATGGGTACTGGGAACCAAACTTGGGTCCTCTGCAAGAATAGCCAGTGCTCTTAACAGCCATCTTCCCAGCCCTGGTTTGTTTGTTTTTTAGACCTGGTCTCCTGTAACCTGGGCTGGCCTTGAACTCCATTTGCAACTGAGGGTGACCTTGAATTTAAGATCTTCCTCTTTTCCTTTCCCAAGTGTTGGGTTTACAGATGTGCTGGGGGTTGAACCCAGGGCTTCATGAATATAGGCAAGCACTCTGCAACTAAGCTACAGCTCAGCTGTTGTGCTTTCTACTGCTGCTGTGAGAAATTACCATGTACTTAGTGGCTTGAAGTAGTGTCAACTTAGAATCCTGCAGTTCTGGAGGGTGGCCGCCTGCAGTGGGCATTTCGGGTGTTGATTGGACTTCTAATGAAGGGACTCTGATGCCCATGCGGAATTCAGGTTTGGCAGGGTTTTCCGGAAAAGCTGGGGGTGGGGTGCTTTGCCTTTGCCTTTTCCAGCCCCTGGGGGCTCCTGACTGATCCTCTGTCTTCAAAGCCTGCATTGGCCAGCCATTGCATCTTGTCACTCAGTTACTGTCCTGCCTGCTTCCCTCTTTCCTTCTGTGACCATCTTGGGTGCGCTTGGTAATCCAGACTTATCTCTGTGATTGAAAGTCACTGAGTAGCCATCTTAATGCCACCTACAGCTTTTCATTCCCCCTTGTCATTGGACCCCCCCACCATCCCTTAGTCCCAGGTCTTTGCGGGGGGGCCAGTGTTCTGCGCAGTATAGCTATCTGTGACTTCTCATGTGGCTGAAATGAGCCTTTGTCAATTGTTTTTGCCTTATAGAACTTTCTGCTGTGAGACTTACTAGTGACACTATGGGGGATATTCTGGCCCATGAATCTGAATTACTTGGACTAGTGAAAGAGGTAGGTATGTTATGCAAAACACAGGTCATAGAAAAAACATTAAAGATTTATTTATGTATGTTGTTATTGTTGGCTGTGTCTTTTCATTTAAAGAAAGCATTTATGAGGGCTGGAGAGATGGCTCAGCAGTTAAGAGCAGTGGCTGTTCTTGCAGAAGACCTGGGTTTGAATCCCAGCACCCACATGGTGGCTAACAACCATCTGTAACTCCAGTTTCAGGGGATCTGACACTCTTCTTCTGCCTTCCAAGGGCACTGCATGACACCAGTACACTTACATACACATAAAATAAAAATAAAAATTTTTTAAAAAGCATTATTTTGTGTGTGCACAGGTGGAGGTCAGAGGACAACCTGGTGAGAGTCAATGTCTGTCCTTCCACCCTGTGGGTTTCATGGATTAAACTCAAGTTGTCAGACTTGGTGACCAGTACTGTTCCCAACTCAGCCATCTTGTTGGCTCTTGCTGGTTTTTGAGGTAGAGTCTCATGTTGACCAGCCTGGCCTTGAACTTCCTATGTAACTGAGGATGATCTTGAAGTCCTGACCCTCCTGCCTTAGCCTCTCCACTGGTGGGGTTATAGGTGTGTGCCTATAATCTGACTGAAACCAAAATCTTAAAGACCGCTGGCTGCTCTTATAGAGGACCCCAGGTTTAGTTCCCAGCACCCACATGGTGGCTAATAACCATCCATAATCCCAGTTCCAAGGGACCTGATGCCCTCTTCTGACCCCCATAGGCATTGCATGTACTTGGTGCACTTAGGTACGTGCATGTAGGCAAAACACTCATACAAATAAAAAATAAAGATAAATTAAATTTTAAAACTTTAAAAAAGAAAAATCACAGCTGGGCAAGGTGGTGCATACCTTTAATCCCAGCACTTGGGAGGCAGAGGCAGGCAGATTTTTGTGAGTTCAGGACCAGCCCGGTCTACATAGTGAGTACCAGAAGGAAAAAAAAAAAAAAATGAGGGGCTGGAGACATGGCTCAGCGGTTAAGAACACTGGTTGTTCTTGCAGAAGACCTGGGTTGGAATCCCAGCACCCACATGGCAGCTAACAACTATCTGTAACTCCAGTTCCTGAACTCTGACATAGGTGCACTTACCTACATTCAGGCAATACACGCATACACATAAAAATAATAAAATTAAAAACAAAAAAAATTACAGGGGCTAGAGAGATGGCTCAGTGATTAAGAGCACTGACTGCTCTTGCAAAGGACCTGGGTTTGATTCCCAGCACCCACATGGTGGTTCCAAGCCATCCTTAACTCCAGTTCCAGGGGAGTCCAAAGCCGCCTTCTGACCACCTCGGCATTGCACATCACAGGTGCGCTCACATGTGCAGGCAATACACTCATACACATAAAATAAAAATAAATTTAAAAAAATTTTTTTAAAGTCTTTAAAAAAAATCACAAAGGCAACTGTCTTAGCTTGGTTTCCTATTGCTGTGATAAAGTACTGTGTTATTTGACAGGAGCAACTTAAGGGGGAAAAGTTTTGTTTGGCTCACAGTTCTAGGTCACATTCCATCCTTGTGGGGGAGTTAAGGTGGTGTGATTTGAAGCAGCAGTTGCATTACATCCACACTCAGGAGCAGAGAGCAGTGAATTGATGATAGTTCTCAGCTCAACCCTTGGAATGGTGGCAGCACTCAAGAGGCAGAGGCAGACTGATCTCTGTGAGTTCTAGGCCAGCCAGGGCTACATAGTGAGACCTTGTCTCTATAAACAAAGAAACCAACCCACAAACAAAATCCCTCATAAGCATGCCCACAGGCCAACCTAGACAATAAATCTTTGAGGGTCCTTTCTTAGGTGAGTCTAGATTGTCAAGTTAACAATTAAAAACATGCTTCACAGCAGTGCATGCTCATGGTGAGAGAGTCAAGTAAGAACTCTGAAAAGGAATTTCCTGGGGCTAGAGAGATGGCTCTGCAGTTAAGAAAGTTTGCAGCTCTTCAGAGGACCTGTGTTCTGTTCCCTGCACTCATGTCAGGTGGCTTATAGCTGCCTGTAACTCTAGCTTCAGGGATCTAGTGCCCTCTTCTGGCCTCTGCAGGCATGTGCACACAACCCACACAGGCATACACACATACCTGAAATAAAAAATCCCAAATGCTGGGATTAAAGGTGTGTGCCACCATGCCCAGCTGAAAATAAAAATCTTAAAAGAATTTTTTTTTATTCCCAGCACTCTGGAGGCAGAGGCAGGCAGATCTCTGTAAGTTCAAGGCCAGCCTGGTCTACATAGTTCCAAGCTGTAGAGAGACCCAGTCTCAAGACCAAAAAATTTATTTTTATTTTATGTGTATGCATGTATTGCCTTCATGTATGTAAGTGCACCTATGTCATGCAATGCCTGAGGAGTACAGAAGAGGGTGTTGGAGTCCCCTGGAACTGGAGTTATAGACAGTTGTTAGCTGCCATGTGGGTGCTGGGATTCAAAACTAGGTCTTCTGCAAGAGCAGCCAGTGCTCTTAACTGCTGAGTCATCTCTCCAGCCCCATAACCTTCTTTTAAAAAGGGATTTTCTGCTTTCTTTGGTGCTTTAATGATTTAGTATTTTTCTTCACAGCCCTTTTCTTTGATTAAAGTATATTTGTGTCTGCAGTCTGGTTTACAAAGTAGGATACCATATACAAAGTGAGCTCTTTTATGAGTCAACAGCATAATCATCTTCCTGTGCCCTCCTTCTCCCCTTCCCCCTTCTCTTCCTCCTCCTCCTCTCCCTCTCCTCAGTACTGTAGAGTATCACACTGGAATACTCTTCCTTTTTTTTTTTTTTTTTTTTTTTTTTTTTTTTAATAAGTTTGTGTGTCTGTGTGTCTGTGCCAAGGATGACCTTTGAGCACCTGATCCTCATTGCCTCGGCCTCTCCAGTGTTAGGATTACTGGCATGTGTCATCATGCCTGCCCTGGCATACTCTCTAACTCACTGCCTATGCTTGGACAATTAGGTTTGCTACACTTAAAGCTTGAGAATGGTGGAGCCGGACATGGTGACACGCCATCTATAACTCCAGTTCACTGGAGTGGACTCATACACATAAAATAAAGATAACATTAAAAAGTTGGGTGTGGTGGCACACACCTTTAATCCCAGCACTGGGGAGGAAGAGGCAGGCTGATCTCTGGGTTTGAGGCCATCTTGGTCTGCATAGTGAGTTCCAGGCCAGCTGGAGCTACAGGGAGACTGTCTCAAAATAAAGACACACACACACAAAAAGCTTTGGAAGAGTGGGACTCCTGCCCTCTGCATTTTGGTTCTGAAGAAACAGTTTCTATTTCACTGTAAGTAAACTGCCTATTGAGCCTCAGGAGACGTGGAAGGAGGGAGAGATGTCCCCTTTGCAAATGCAACTTTGTTGTGATTGCAAATTAGTTCCTAAAGCCAGCACCATGAGGGCTGTGGACAAGGCCAGTGGACCTAAGCCCAGTTAGAGCAGGTGGAACGTGGTGTGACTGATACCAACTGAAAGGAGACGCTTGAAGAACAGGAGCAGAGCGCTCTTGATGGTGTTGGCCATGACTGCTCTGCATGGTACTAACTGCTGACATTTTCTGTATGTAGTGGTTTATATTCTCTAAATCTATTTCAGATGATAAAGTCCCAGGAACCTAGTAAGCATACCCATTAGGCCTCTGCTGATCACTTTTGCCTTATTCAGACTGCTGCTGCTCATTTCGTTTTCCTTCCTTCCTTCCTTCCTTCCTTTTTTTTTTTCATTTTTGGGGGGGGTGTCTTTTTGAGACAGGGTCTCCCTTTAGCCCCAGTTGGCCTGGAACTCACTATGTAGATGAGGCTGACCTCTAACTCAGAGATCTAACTTTTTAATGTTATCTTTATTTTATGTGTGTAAGTGCTCCCAAGCAATGCCGTAGGAGGTCAGAAGAAGGCATCGGATCCCCTGGAACTGGAATTATAGACAATTGTTAGCTGCCATGTGGATGCTGGGAATCAAACCCAGGTCCTCTGCAAGAGCAGTCAGTGCTTTTAGCTGCTGAGCTATCTCTCCAGCCCATTTGGTTTTTTATAGGTATAACCAACAAAAATGAATACAGCTTTCACCTTGTGTTAAACTGTTTCCCCTCTCTCTCTCCCTCCCTTCCTTGTGGTATTAAGAATGCTTAAAATCTATTCTCTTTTTATGATTTTATTTTTATTTTGTGGGAATGAGTGTTTTGCCTGTGTGTGCGTATGTGCATCATGTGATGCCTGATGCCTACGGAGACCAGAAGGAGGCATCGGATCCCCTGGAACTGGAATTAAGGACTGGTGATGGCTGCTTTGTGAGTGCTGGGAACCAAACCTGGGTCCTCTGGGAGAGTAGTAAGTGCCCTTAACCAGCCATCTCTCCAGACCTCCAGATATACTCTCCTAGCAAATTTTATTTTTATTTAAAATTTTATTTTTATTTACTTTTTTTTTTTTTTTTATGAGACAGGGTCTCCCAGTAGCCCCAGCTGGCCTGGAACTCACTATGTAGACCAGGCTGGCCTTGAACTCACAGAGATCTGCCTGCCTCTACCTCCTGAATGCTGGGATTAAAGGCATGCCCCACCACGCCCGGCTTTTATTACTATTTTATGTGTATGTGTGTGTTGCCTGCATGTAGGTGCAACCCATGTCATGCAGTGCCAACGGAAGACAGAAGAGACTGTCGGATCCCCTGGAACTGGAGTTACAGACAGTTGTTAGCTGCCATGTGGGTGCTGGGATTCCAACCCAGGTCGTCTGCAAGAACAACCAGTGTTCTTAACCACTGAGCCATCTCTCTAAGCCCCTATTTTATTTTTTTTGGTCTTTTTGAGACAGGTCTCCTGGCCTGGAACTCACTGTGTAGAACAGTCTTTGTCTTTCTGTGTCTGACTTATTCCACTTAATGTATGTCCTCCAGTGTCACATTACAAATGGAAAACTCAGAGATCTGCCTCCCAAGTGCTGGGATTAAAGGCATGCGCCACCATGCCTGGCTTATTTTTAATTTTTATTAGCTGGGTGTTTTGGTGCATATCTTTAATCTCAAAACTCAAGAGGTGGAAGCTGGTGGATCTCTGAGATAGAGGCCAACCTAGTCTACATAGTAAGTTCCAGACCAGCTGGGACTACAGGGAGACCTTGTCTCAAAAACACCAAAAATTAAGTGTGTATGTGTGTATGTGTACATATATATGTATATATATTTTATTGACTAATTTTGTTATTTGACAATTTCATGCATGTATATAATATATTCAGTTACTCTCCTTTTAATTTTTTGAGGCAGCTCCATAGTTTTTTGTAATAGCTGTGTCAGTCTACGTTCCCATTAACAGTACAGAAGAGTTCCCATTGTCATTATTAGCTCTTGCCTTTTTGAAGATTTGTTTTATTATGTGTATGTGTGCATGTTTCTGTGCATATATGTGCATATGAGCCCAGGTGCCCATGGAAGCCAGAAGAGAGTGTTGGATCCCCTGGAGCTGGAGTTACAGGTAGTTGTGAGCCGCCCCACATGGGTGCTGGGAACAGCAGTCCTCAGCAAGAGCAGTGCATGCTCTTAATTGCTGAGCCATCTCTTAGCTTGCTTTCTAATTTGGGCAGGTTGGCAGGACCCAGGAGCAAGAATGATACTGGGCAAGACAGCATCCTGCCAGAGGGAGGCCTGAGCACTTGTCATTTTGACAGTAGGCATTCTCACTGGTGAAAGGTGATAGGTCTTTGTGACTTTGGTTTGTATTTCCCTGGTGATTAGAGATACTGAGCATATTCCTGTTGGCCTTATGTATGTCTTCATTAGAGAAATTTATGTTCAGGACCTTTGACCATTTTTAATTATATTATTTGATTTTTGTTGTTATTTGCTACTGAATTATGTTCTTTGTCATAGTATTTAGATTTTGCTGAATTTGAGGACACATTGAAGACATTTTCAAAAGAATGTAAAGTAAAAGGAAAACCATTATGTAAAACAGCAGGTGGATCACTGAAGAAGGACTCCAAATCATTGATAATCCAGGTAATATCTTGTTTATTCATGAGCTCTGTAAATAAGATGCCATAGCAGTGAAGAACACCAGAGTATGCCCAGAGTGACTTGATGTTGTGCTTATGGGTGCATTAATAGTGTCATTTAAAAAGTCTGTACCCTACTCAAGAAATGTGTGGCTGTACAGGAGCTTACACCTTTCTGGAGGAGTTAACAGGAGACCATGTATACACTTGAGGAACCAAGACAGATGTAGTTTCCACTCCAAGTTTGAACTATTCATTATAAATTTTAGGCACTAGGGATAGAGCAGGGTACAGGTCAAACCAAACCAAACCTCTGTCCTCATAGTGCTTGCATTCTAATTTGGGCAGGTTGCTGGGTCCTAGGAGCTAGAGTGATACTGGAAGGCAGCATCCTGCCAAGGGAAGGCCTGAACAGCTCTGAACACCAGTACTGGAGATTGTGAAGTTTGAGTTTTGAGGGTTCAGAAGGAGCAGGGGTTATAACTCAGTGAGGAATAGATGTTCAGCCTCCTTGAGGACCTGGGTTCTGTCCCTAGTACTAAAGACAAAAACCAGATTTAAATACCAGACTTAGAAGGGACCTTAAAAGCCCTCCGTCCTACCGTCTTTGAATGCTCTTTCTCTCCCCCATGTATCACCTGGGTAGGTGATAAGTTCATCTTGAACATCACTGGTAACAGTAGAAAACACCATTTCCCAAGGCAGTCTTTTCACCTGTGGATCATTTTGTTTATTTATTATTATTATTATTATTATTATTATTTTGGTATTTTTGAGACAGGGTCTCCCTGTAGCCCTAGCTGCCCGGGATTTGCTATGGAGACCAGGCTGGCCTCGAACTCACAGAGATCCACCTGCCTCTGCCTCCTGAGTGCTGGGATTATAGGTGTGTGCCACCATGCCCGGCAGATCATTTTATTTTAATGAATTTAAATTTAATATTTTTTTTTAATTTTTATTTTGTGTGTATGCATGTATTGCCTGCATATAGGTAAGTGCACCCATGGAGGACAGAAGAGGCTGTTGGATCCCCTGGAACTGGAGTTACAGACAGTTGTTAGCTGCGATGTGGGATTTGAACCTGGGTCTTCTGCAAGAACAACCAGTGTTCTTTTTTAAAAAAAAAAAAAATTATTTTTTTATTTTATTTGTACAAGTGTATTGTCTGCATGTATGTGAGTGTGCTCGTGTTGTGCAGTGCCGCAGAGGTCAGAAGAGAGCTTCAGATTCCCCTGGAACTGGAGTTAAAGATGGTTCAGAACTGCCATGTGGGTGCTGGGAATCCAAACCTGAGTCCTCTGCAAGAGCAGTCAGTGCCCTTAGCCACTGGGCTATCTCTCCAGCCCCAAATTCAATTCAATTCTATATATATATATAATTTTTTTTCTTTTTTTTTTTGGTCTTTTTGAGATAGAGTCTCCCTGTTGCTCCAGCTGCCTGGAACTCACTCTGTAGACCAGGCTGGCCTCGCACTCACAGAGGAGCTGCCTGCCTCTGCCTCCCAGTGCTGGGATTAAAAGTATGCACCACCACGCCCGGCCAAATTCAATAATTTTAATATATTTTCAGTATACCTATTTGGTTTATGAGACCCCCTGAGGAGCTAAGTGTAGGTTGCCTTGCTCTCATCTTAATCCCTGACTCTCCTGTGACTAGACATGGGTATTCTTGAGGAGGGCAGTATTTTAGTGATCCACAGAGCTCCAGGTTTGTCTGGGTCCCTCTATGCCTCCTCTAGCTGCTACCTCCTAAACCTGGGGCAAAATTTCAGAACACAAATCAATATAGTCATTTTAGAGGTGGAAACAGCTTCTTAGAATGAAGCTTAGTCCTTGGGAAATGGGCCTCCAGACACCAGTTCCCAGTGCTTTGCCTGGAGAAGGACCTGCTGCCTGTCTCTGCACCTGTCTCCTGTCTGGTGGAAGGACATTTGAGCCTCTCTTGATTGGGGCTCATGTTTGTAAACTGGCTTTCTCACTCTCTCTCATCTCTAGCTGCCTCGGGGAACACTTTAGGTAGTTTTTTAAACTTGTGATTAAAAAATCGCTGGGCATGGTGGTGCACGCTTTTAATCCCAGCACTCAGGAGGCAGAGGCAGGTGGATCTCTGTGAGTTTGAGGCCAGCTTGGTCTACATAGCGAATCCAGGTCAGCTGGAGCTACAGGGAGACCCTGTCTCAAAACGACCAAAAAAAGAGTAAAGTTTGCCAGGTGTAGTAGCACATGCCTTTAATCTCAGTACTCTTAGCAGTCAGGCTCTGTGAGATTGAGGCCAGCCTGGTCTACATGGTGAGTTCCAGGGAAGCTAAGGCTGCAGGGAGATCCTGTCTCAAAAAAAAAAAAAAAAAAAAGGTTGGAGAGATGACTCAATAGTTAAGAGCACTGACTGCTCTTGCAGAGGACCCGGGTTTGATTCCTAGTACCCATATAGTGGCTAAGAACCATTCTTAACTCCAGGTCCAGAGGAATCCAACGCCCTCTTCTGACCTCCACAGCATTGCATGACATGAGTACACGCAAATATATTCAGGAAATACAATCATACACATAAAATAAAAATATTTATTTATTTATTTGGTCTTTTTGAGACAGGGTCTCCCTATAGCCCCAGCTGTCCTGGAACTCACTATGTAGACCAGGCTGACCTTGAATTCACAGAGATCCACTTGCCTCTGCCTCCCAAGTTCTGAGATTAAAGGTGTGCGCCACCACGCCCAGCATTTTAATGATTTTTAAAAATATTTATTATTTTTATTTTATGTGTATGTGTGTATTGCCTGCATATAGGTAAGTACACCCATGTTGTACAATGCCCGCAGAGGTCAGAAGAGGCTGTCGGATCCCTTGGAACTGGAACAGACAGTTGTTAGGTGTCATGTTGGTGCTGGAATTCGAACGGGGTCTTCTGCAAGAACAATCAGTGTTATTAACCACTGAGCCATTTCTTCAGCCCCCATTTTAATTATTTTTAAGTGCAATTTACTTATCTTAAGAATATTTACATTGAAAGGGCTAAAGAAATGACTTGGTGGTTAAGAGCACTGGCTGCTCTTCTGGAGGATTTGAATTCAGTTACCAGCACCCACATGACAGCTAATATTCATCCTTAACTCCAGTTCCAGGGGATCCAAACCCTCTTCTGGCCTCACCAGTCATGCACATGATGCACTTATATGCAGGCAAAACACTCATACACATAAAAATAAATAAATAAATAAATAAATAAATAAATAAATAAATAAATAAATAAATGAAATCTGTTTTTTAAAAAGAGCACTCAG